CTAGAGCCAAGGAGTAAGCAGGGGAACTACCCAGGGGCTCCCCGTGACTCCAGCCTCCTGGAGCAGACCTAGGTGTTCTGGCTGAGCATGAGGGTTGGTTACCTTGACCCCTTGGAATCTAGGCAGTCCTGGAGTCAAGGGTGACCCCTTTAAGGGTTCTTCCATCCTTGCTTGGGGCCCAGGAGGAGAGCAGAGCCCCACCTGGGCCACCGAGCAAGCGTGGCAGGGAGGCACAGCAGACCCGCGTTCACTCCTCTGCCTTCGGAAGCGGTCAGGTTGGTTCAGGACAACCGGCCTCTCTCTCCCAGGCAGGGGTGTGTTGTGTGGGTCTGAGGAGCCCCTGGAACTGGTATCGCACTGCCTGCACAATGTGGGCTCGGTGATCATTCATGGGACAAACAAATGACAAATAGGCTGTGAGCAGATCTGGGGCTTCCTGGGCGCCTGGTCCTGAGCGTCTCTGGAATCTTCCGTGCATCTGGTTCTGGTCAAGGCGGCCTTACTGTTTGGCCTAGGAATGCTCTCAAATGACCTCTGTTCTTGAACCCCCTCCTCCAGGCCCTCTTTGGAATGTATTTACAGCTCTGGGAGGTCTGCTGCAGGAAGCTCCTCAAAACTGTGCTCAGACTAAAAGAGAACATGCAGACAGCTGGAGACAGGGACTCTGCAAGAGGCGAAGTGGAGGCTTTTGGTAATGAGGCTCCAGGCAAACCCTGCCCCGCGCAGCCTCCCCTGTCCTTCGCCGCACACGTCTGCAGTGCCTGATGTGTGTCAGGCCTGGGGGCAGGTCACAGAGCTGACCTTGTCCAGACCCTGCCCCGCTCCCCCAGCAGAGGCCAAGTGAGAACATTCATTACAGACGAGGGGTGCTATGGAGCCCTGCCGATGTGCTCAGCAGCTTGAACACACCCTCACACAGCACTGACTCTGGGCTGGGAACAGTTCAGAGCGATCAGCACCTCCCTCATCCCCGTGTTAGAGGCAGAGAAACCAGCAGGCAAACCAGAGAAGTCACACGGCCGGGGAAGGGCAGGAGGCAGGGTCCCACCCAGACCTGTGCATTAGCTACACAGGAACGGCATCAGCCACAGTGACAACTAACGGTGAGGCCCAAATCTCACAGAAACCCTCCCACTGGCCTGTAAGGGGACATGTCTGAGCCTGCCGGGCGGGAGCTGGAGGTCACGTGAGGGCCCCTCATGAGGGCAATGTGATGAGGCCGAATCTGAAGATTGCACACTGGGGAAACTGAGGAACAGCAGAAGCCACACTCCAGAAAGAAGGAGTGGAGGGTTCAGAAAACCACAGAAGTGAGTGGGAAACAGGAGCTGGAGGGTGGTTGCAGGAGGCCGTATCCCGGCCCTTCATCTGCAGGAAGAGCCCACGCTCTGCTCTTGACTCTGCACTGTGACTTACTTGCTGACCCTTCAGCTCTCTGCGCTTCAACTTCCCCAAATATATAGAGGGATGAAATCAGCACCTCCCTCCCTGTAAGGTTCTCAGAGCAGAGCTTAGCACATAGTTCATGCTTCATACTCGATTATTAAATCAAAACCCTCACTACGTATTTTACAAAGATACATACGGATGGCAGGAGTTCAAGGATGCAGGTCCTTGCTGTTGGGGGTGGGGGGTGGGGAGAGGCACGGAGAGCAGGGGGGAGGTGGAGTGAGGAGACAAGGCTATGTGCAGATGGGGCCCTGTATGGCCCCCCTTCCTTCCCTCCTTCCCCCTTCCTACGTTCCCTCCCCCTTCTCCCTTCCCTCCCCCTTTCCCTCTTCCTGCCTTCCCTCCCTCCCCCTTCCCTCCTTCCCCCTTCCCTTCTTCTCTCCCTCTTCCCTCCTTCTCTTCCCCTTCTCTCCTTCCTTCCCTCCTTCTTTCCTTCCTTCCCTCATCATCCGTACATCCCCTCAGCACCTCCTCACCTGCTCCACTCGTTCACCTGGCCGCTCGCTCAGTGTGTCTTGGGCATGCACCGTGCTGGGTTCTGGGCGGCTGCCGGGGATATGGCCCAGAGAGGAAGACGTGGGGCTGGTCTTGCCCTTGCACCTCACCATCTATGAGACCCCCCAGGGCCTGTGTCAGCAGAATGGTCAGGGAAAGGAGACATGGATGCAGAGAACAGATGTGGAGCCCAGCCTGGGACAGCTTGGGAACTGGAACATTCCAGACAGTGGACCCATCTCTGCACGCATTCCTCCATCTGCCCACCCGTCTGTCCATTTACCGTGTTCATTCATTCCTGCACCCACCCATTTATTTGTCCCACACTTGGCCTGCTGGAAGAAAGCCTTGTTTTGAAGCCGCTCAGGTCTGAGTTCCGATCACGATTCTGCCACGCCTGCTGAATGCTGCCACACGGTACTTCATCTCCCCAGGCCTCAGTTTCCTCATCTGCAGGATGGGGATGGGGCCAGAGCGGGATCTGAGAGGAGGCTTTGGTGGGACATTGAGTGTTACTGGAACATGGTGGATGCCCCATAAATGGCAGCTAGAGTCCCAGTCACCACCAGCCAGTCACTTAGAGTTTGTCCAGCTCGCGTGCAGGAAGTGTCTGGCCCTGCACCCGACCCACCAAGGCGGACCCCAGCCACACACCCAGGCTACACCATGAGCTCTTTCAAGACGCCGGAGCCCTGAAGCAGGATGGACATAGGGCGACCAAGTCATACCGGTCCATTCCGACGCCACCATTCACAAATGCTGGGACACACCTACCTGTCTCGTGCACTAACACAATCCTATTTCTTTACACAAAGGAAACCGAAGTACAGAGAGACTGTTGGTTGTCCAAGGCCCTCCAGTAAGTGGCAACACTCTGCCTGAGTCACTGTGTAACCTCTCTCCAGGTGTCATGGATGCTGAAGGCTGGCAGCTTCCAGGGGGACCAGCTGGGCCGTCTGAGGCTTCCCCAGCAGGAGCACGTGAGCAGCACTGTATCATGCTTTGGCGTGTCTGCTCCAATTGCTCCCCACCAACAGATTTCCCCAAACGACCCAGCATTCTCTGGGTTCTGCTTGGCTCCTAGCAGAGAACATCAAGAGCCTTTGGCAGGTCAAGCTCACTCACTTGGAAGTGTCAGATCCTGACTCTGCCTTATCAGTCAGGGTTCAGATTCTTGGGTTCCAGACCCAGACCTTCCACTAAGTTAGTGTATGCCCTCAGATCAGCTAGCAACTCTGAGATTCCACTCTGTCTCCCTTATGGTCATCAGATAGCTCATAGCATGGAACCGATCTGCACCTGGTGTCCATCAAAGGGTCACCGAACCTGGATTAGCACCTAACACCTTGCGTGACTCCGTTAATGACACTTGTTGACCATACTTGCTTCATGGGACTTATTTTGAAGAGCAGCAAGTAAGTTTATAAGAAGGAAGCAAGGATTCACATTTATAGAGCAGTCTCCATGTAACATACCCCCCCTCCTTGGGCACTTGATATGCATGATTTTTGTAAAGCCCCATGTAACAGTTAGGAGACTTTTGGCACCAAGGAATAAAATATCTAACTTTAGCTTACTCAGTAAGTCACTGAATTAGCTCATGTGACAGAAAGTCTGGAGGTAGCTGCTCCAGGTTTGGTTCAGTAACACCATAAAATCCCAAAGCCCCAAGCTCTTTTCCTCTTTCTGCTCTACCATCCTCAGCACGTTGGCTTTTCATCCTCAAGCTTGTGCCTCTTGTACCCAATATCACTGCTGCAGCTCCAGCCATCAACTCTGCACACAAGGTAAAAAGAATGAGTAGAGAATAATCTCCTTCCAAAGGATTCAATCTTTTCTAGGAGCCCTCTTGAGGGGTCACGTCTATGGTCACAAACCTACACCACCACTGAGCAGCCATGCATGCTCCACGTCCCCTTGTAGAGGCTGCAAGGAAAAGAGAAGAGAGGGAGTGACTGCTATGGGAAGCACAGGGATGGGACCTTGCTGGGGTGTGAGAGGACCCGCAAGGCGGCCAGCATGGTCAAGTGTAGCACAGGGAGAGTGGACAGAGAAGTGTGCGGGGAGGTCTCGGACGCCTCGCCAGGACTGGGGATTCCGCCTAAGTCACTGGGCAGGCTCGGGGAGGCTGTAGCCAGGAGGGATCTTGGTTCAATTTTCCAAGGTTCGCTCTGATGGCTCTGGGAAGTCGTAGAGGACATAGACAATGGGTGTCGGGAGGGGAGGCTGGGGGCCAGTCAGGAGGCAGTTGCTGAGATCCCCACGGGGATGAGGGGGCTGGAAAAGGGTAGACGGGGCCCCAGAGGAGACCCCTCACCTGTGTGGCAGTGTCCAGCAGGGACCAGGTGAGGCATCCGAGCCCACCAGTGATAACAAGCGCCCAGACGTGGAGAGACAGCGCCAGCACCAGAAGGGCCTCTCGGGCTGATGATAGGAAACAGGAACGGCTGTGAATTGGCCGCCACGGCTTTAATTGGTCCTGGAGGGCTGATGAGAACCTGAGCCCCAGAGCTGAGGTCATTTGTAAATTCCTATCATTTCTAGATGGCTGCTCTCAGAGCCACCCTCCTTTGCTTGCAGCCAGGGAGAGAAGAGTGAATGATGGCAAATGAAAACCAGAAGTAGGAGCAGTCTGAAGAAACGGGAGGGAGTTTACTTCTCTCCGCTGGGAGCACGTTCAAAGCCCCCCGCCAGCCTGGGGTAAGGGTATCTCCGCCTCCACCTTGAGCCCTCCTGCGATGTCCCCCTCCCCACCTTTGTGAAATACCTCGGCAGGATGACCCCAGCTCCCTCTGTGCGAATTCACTGCCCCAGTGTGAAATCATAGCCCTGTAACTTTCCCTTTAAGAGCTGTCAGAGCGAGAGGCTGGCCAAGCTTGGGCTGGAGGTGGGGACAGAGGGAAGAAAGGAAAAAAAAAAAAGAGAGAGAGAGGCAGGAAAAGTTTTTTCAGAGGAAAATGCAGGGTTTGTCCTAAACTCTGACGTCAGATCTTGCTTTAATAAACCCCCCCCCCCAGGGCTGTGGGAAGCAGCATATCTCCTGCTCCTGATGGGCCAGGCCAGTCTCTCGGCCCAGCTCCCCCGAGAGGCGGCCGGATCCTCTGGGCGGCTCGGTCGATGCCTTTGCCCCTGACTTCCAGGCATGAGGTGGCTCCTGCCCTGGACACTGGCAGCGGTGATAGCAGTAGCCGCGGGAAGCGCCCTGGCCGCGGTGAGTCCCGCCTGCAGGGGCTTACAGAGGGGCCCCCGATCCCGTTCTCCAGCCCGTTCTGCTACACGGGTGGGCAGATCGAGAGGGGCTGGAAGTGTGGGGGCAAGCTGGCGCCCACGTAGGGGCCAGGGCGAAGCCCCGGGGGGTGGGGGGGTGGGGCTGTGCGGGGTCAGCTGGTGGAGTCGGGGGAGGGGGCAGCCCCCGGGGGGCGGACAAAGCAAACAAGTGGTCCACGCCCTTCTTTCCCACCTGAAACTCAGCAGAAAAGGGCACTTGTTGGAGCGGGGAGTCGGGGGCCTGGACTCCAGTCCCAGCTCTGCCCAGACTGGCCGTGTGACCTTGGGCCAGTCACTCATCCCCACGTAGTGCTAAGCGAAGACGCTGGCAGGAGACTTGTAAAGTCTTGGGTTTGGAACGTGAGTCTCCAAGTGCTGGGGATACTACACGGAGAGGAGTCAGAAAACACCCAGAGAAGCTGGAAAGGAAAATGCCAGCTTTCAACACAAGTGCCTCTCTTGAGCAAACATTGCTTGGGGTGGTTTCCACCCCCGACTGCTGGTGCCTCCGGCTGGCACAGCCCTCTACAGCTTATGAAGCGTGTGCCCTGGGGCCCTGCACGTGACACCTGCTCTTTCGGGGGATCCTGAGGGTTCTCTCTCTCCTCTGTCTAGCCCAGGCACTCCGAAGGGAAGGGGGAAGGGTCCGCACCTCCAAGAAGCACGCAGCCTGCTGGCTGTGGGTTAGAGGCAGGCCCAGGGCGGGCAGGAGGTGGGAGGCTGGGAAGAACTGAATCCAAGACCCCACAGCCCCGGCCAGTGCCTTCTGCCAGTAGTAAAGCCGAGAGACAGAGGGAAGGCGTCAAGAAGGATTTCGTTACCCACTCCCAATGACAGCTTCCTTGGGGATCAATGCGCCCCATTTGTGGATGAGGGAGCTGAGGCTCAGGGGTAAAGCGACTCGCCCACGGGCTCAAAGACACTGATTCTGACTCAGCCAGATCTGAGGCTGAGGGCTGGTGGCCGACCACAGCCCGGTTGCCTCTGGACCTGGGGGATGGAGGTTCCTCCAAGCACCGCAGTAGGTTTAAGGAGGGCAAGGAGTGTATCTGTGATTCATTGTGAAATCCTTTGAACCTTGCGTGGTGCCCACCCACAGTGGGTGCCAAGCCGTGCTACAAAAGGAGATACTAACTTCATTTTACAGAAGAAAAAAATGGAAGCTTAAGGCAAGCAAGGAACTTGTTCAGAGTCTCACAATGAATAAGTGGCCAGGGCTCCAATTTAGATCTTCCCCTGCCAAATCCTGCTCTTTCTTCCAGAGCTTTCCTAGCTGAGGGGCAACCAAGCATTTCCTACAGACTAGAGCAACCACGAGGAGCTGAAGCAGCCTTTATTGGGGGTTGCTATGGCTGGGAGGACAAGGGGTGGATGGAGGAGAGGTGAGATGTGTAGGGTAGCAGGAGTCTGAGCGAGGAGAAGGAAAGAAGCTGTAGGCAGGGCCAAGTACACGGGAGCCCGTTACCTCCCAGAGCAGGAGGTGCTGGGGAAGAAAGGGGTCCAGATCCCCGGGCTCAGCTATGGGGCCATGCAGCATGGGATCCAAGAGTCCGGACAGACCCAGACAGCAGACTGAAGGGGAGGCTCGGGACCTCTCTTCTCTGCAGCTCCCCCTCACCCCGAGGACCTTCTCTGGGCACCCAACACGACCCAGCCCACGCTGGTGTCCAGATCCAGGAGCTCCCAGACAAAGGGAGCTCTCAGAGCATCCTGACGCCCCCAGCGAGGGCTGTGAGACAGATGGCGACCAGGTCTTTGCTTTCTGGCCAAACTCCATACATGGCCGTCCTCTGCTCACTAATATATAATAGGAATGCAAGTTCCCTCAGGCGCCCAGTGGGATTTTACTGGAAAAATGATTATAGATGTTCATATGGAAGAAAAGGTTGTGAGAATTGCCAAGAAAAAACTTTGAGGAAGTAGCGTTCTGAGGGAAGACTTGCCCTATTGGATAGTAAAAAATTATCTAAAAGTTCTGTAATTGAAGGAGCAAGATGCCAACCGGGAAGAGAGAAATTGAGGAGGACAGGGCAGTGAGCTCAGAAACTCAGCCAAGTCGACTTGGGAACGTGAACTATGATAAAGGTGACTACAGATACGACTGGTTTTTCCATCTCTTTGTTCTTTTCTTCCTTCTACTGGAGAGTATCCACCCTGCGCCACGAGAAAGGGGCTGCATTTAGTGGGTGTTATCACGTCCCGTGCCAAGTGCTCTATATGTATGCCGATAAGACCTTCCTGGGATCACGCAACAGACATTCACTAGCATTTATTGAACACTTCCTGAAATCGTCATAGCAATACCCTGAAGCAGATGTGACGAGCCCTCTTTGTAGGCGCCGAAACTGAAGGTCTGAGAGGTTCAGTAATTCGCCCAAGGCCACACAGCTGGTAATGAGCAGGGTTGATTTTGAACCTTGGTCCTGTGCTTTGCCATACCGCCTGCTGGCTCCCTGGTGCGGGTACTTGCCGAGAAATTAGAGGTTTCTGCCCAGAAACACAGTTTCTGCCCCTATAAAGTGTACGGGCTAGAGACAGAGGACAGCCACCCACACGTGGGGAAGCGAGGCAGCAGGGGTGGAGTCATCCAGGAGAGAGAGGTTGGGTATAAGCTCTGCCCCTGGCTCTGCCTGTGGCAGCAGGACCCTTGACTACTGGGGGCCTCCCCGTCTTCTCTTGTTCATCGGGGCTCAGGACCTCGGCCCTACGCAGCTCCCTGCCGCTGCTGGGGAGTGACCACAGGGCTGCGTCAGGGAAGCCTCTCAGAAGCCCGCGACTGGGTAAACAAATTATGTGCCAGGAAATTAATTCCTGGACACACATTAGGTCTGTGGTAGTCAGTGTGCAGGGGCGACCCCCGCCCCTCCTCCCGTGCAAATATACGTGGGGATGGGCACAGGTGTGTGCACGCACGGGTATCTGACATCGCGGCTCGTCTGAGTGTGCAAGTCGCCATGGTGTGTGTGAATGCACAGGGATGCACGTGGAGGGTATGGGATGCAAGCTGATTCTCCGCTCCTAGGACCGACCGCAGAGCAGTGTGGCGCGGGACGCGGCATATCCCTTTTAAAAGTGTGAGAACAGATGATACGCCTTCTTTACATGTCCTGTCCATAACTTTGGACCCGAGCCAGCATTTCAAACCCCACCCCAGGCCCCTGCTCGGAGCCTCTTCCTGCAACTTAGAGGCTCTGCTCACAGCCGCGGCCCCTCCCACTCGCCGCTTGTCCGGGATGCTGGCGGGAGTGTGGCACGGACAGGCATTTTCCACCTGGCACGGCGCTTGGCAAAGCCTCAGCCTCTGGAACGGGCATGGGAGCAGTGCTCCTTGGAGAACCAGACCCTGACCGTGGGCGGGGCAGTACCTCTGGCCCGTCAGCGGACTCACCTCCCCCAGCGTTTAGAAAAGGCCCCTGCCCCATGCCAACAAAGCAGCCAAACGCCAGGAGGCTGCCTTTGGCTGTGTACAAGGATTTGTGCCTGGGATTCCTCCCAGGAACCTTGGCCATGTCTCTGGGCAGCAGGGAGGGGCCGCTACACACACTGTGGGTTCCATATGGGAGCAAGGAAAGTAAGACAGCAATGGTCCACACTGGGCCCCCGGGGGGGGCGCTGGGAGGCTTGCCAGCCACAGCCGGGGAAGCAAAGCAAGGAAGGAAGTTTTGAGCAGGAACTGTAGAATGCTGCGAATGTCTAAGAGTGAGGTTTCGGTAAGTCAAACAGAGAAAGACATGTATCATATGACCTCACTGATATGAGGAATTCTTAATCGCAGGAAACAAACTGAGGGTTGCTGGAGTGGGGGGTGGGGTGGGAGGGATGGGGTGACTGGGTGATAGACACTGGGGAGGGTATGTGCTCTGGTAAGCGCTGTGAATTGTGCAAGACTGTTGAATCTCAGATCTGTACCTCTGAAACAAATAATGCAATATATGTTAAGAAAAAAAAAAAGAAGAAGAAGAAGAAGAAGGTAGCAGGAGGGGAAGAATGAAGCGGGGGAAATCAGAGGGGTAGACGAACCATGAGAGACGATGGACTCTGAAAAACAAACTGAGGGTTCTAGAGGGGAGGGGGGTGGGAGGATGGCTTAGCCTGGTGGTGGGTATTGAGGAGGGCACGTTCTGCATGGAGCACTGGGTGCTATGCACAAACAATGAATCATGGAACACTACATCTAAAACTAATGATGTAAGGTAGGGGATTAACATAAGAATAAAAAAAAAAAGAGTGAGGTTTCGGCATATCATACATTCATTCAATACCTCTGGAGCTCTCCAGGCCTCAGTAACACTGATTATAATGAAGGAAAACACTGCTTAAGTGCTCTCTATGTGTATCAGCTCAATTGAAAACCACACCTATGAAGCAGACAGCAACATCCTTATCCCAGCACAGTCCAACGTGGCCGCTCATCACATGAGGCCGCCGAGCGCCGGAAATGTAGCTCATCCCATGTGAGATGTAGAATACACACCATATTTCAAAGATTCAGTATGAGTACAAGAACATCACAGGCTCACTGTAATTTTTCTATTGACTCCATGTTGAAACAAGAATATTTCTAATATATTGGGTTAAACAAATAGAATATTTTCCCTGGTTTCTTATTGGTTCTTATTGGTTTTCAGTGTGGCTGCTAGAAAATATAAAATTCCATAGATGGTTCACATTGTGTTTTACTAGACAGTGTTGGCCTGGGAAAACGCAAGTGTATGTAGGTGGATTTTAGTAGGTGGGGAGGGAAAGATATTGAGGGTTCTAATCCCAGCTCCTCGACTGAGCCAGTTTCTTCATCTGTGAGAAGACGTAATATCAGTACTTGCTTCCTTGGGTTATTGAGAAGATTAAGGAATGAAACAGAGATAAAGCACATGAATCCCCAGCACACCCAAGGGGAGGTGGGACATGATTCACTTCGCTCCAATAGCAGCGATGGGGGCATCC